GACAGCACAATCAGCCATCAAACATAGGGTAAACTATTAAAAATATAAAAGAAAATACTGGTTAAATACATTATATTTAAAATAATTATAATATATATGCATTCTATAACCCAAATTTTTAAGTTTTAATCATTGGGTATATACAAACCCGATATATTAGAAGCAGACAGTGCATATAGGGTTAAACTATTAAAAGATGAAATAATACTGATTTAACACATTATATTTTAAACAATTATATATCATGCATTTTATAACCTAAACTTTTAAGTTTTTAAGTACTAAGCTTTTGGATAGTACTAAATGTGATGCGCGCTGTGACGGACCGCTGGCACTCCGACCGATTACCTTTCGCCAATCGATGCTCCTAGTGCTTGCCGAGGACTCCAAGCACTCCAACCAACACCATCAGCAGTGCAGACCCCACTTCCAGCGATGCAGCTGCGCCGGGGTCTCGCCGTCCTTCACCCACCCTGGACCCAAGGCCAGGATCCAGCTTCCAGTGGGCAGACCTCTCTTCCTCCAGAGAGCGTAGCAGGAACAAGAACAGCTCTTACAAGAGCTTACCCTGGGGAGTATAGTGTGATTATAGCAATCCCCAGAGTGTAGTTATCACGTCCCTCAAGCATGAGCCAAGGCTTCAAGAAAGGGTCAAGCAGGTCTATTTAATGAGCACCAAAGGACTTTTTTTTATACAAGTTTTCCCACCAGGTTACCACCCACGTGGACCTGGTGGTACACAGGACATGCAGTTACAATAGCCAATCAAAACAGAACAGTACAGTCAGACACTCCCAGCCAAGGCACACAAACCCTCCCCTCTGCCTGTGATATAATTACTGAACACAATGGGTTAACCTGCCCTTTGTCACTCGCGCAATGACTAAATTTCATTCAGCTTTACCATGAGTAAATATTAGAAGTGTACATATTTATGCAATGTTGTGGGCGGAGTAATTTTTCCCCCATTTCCCCTTTTTCTTCTTTTGTGCCATTTCCCCCAGTTTATTTTCTAAATGTTTATTTTATTATATTTTGGAAAATGTTTAATAAAAATAATTTGAAAAGAAGTGCAAATTCAATTTCAATTCGTCATTTTAACAATATTCTACTGATCTGAAACTAAATTTGATATATTGTGAATAAGTCTGTTTAAGATTCTGTAAAGAAAGAGTAGTCTTAACTACATATCTTTCTTCTAAGTATAAAACACCTATAAATAAGCATCATAAAACTAAACTGTAGAATGAAGGTGTGTTCTACCTCCTACACATACGCATACAACAAAGGTCTTTTACTTAATAATTCTGGTGACTTCATTCTCTCCACCCTGTTCTAACTATTTTTATTGAAATTATATGTTATAAAAATGTAATCTTCATATGATTAACAATCACGCAACTAATCATTGCACAATTGCACAAGAATTGTACAGTGATTATGAAAGGAGAGAAATCATAAAATTTCACAAAAGCTATAAATAGAAAGGAGTGACATTTGTTATGTTAACATGACTGTTTAGCATTCTATTACCTTTATAAATGTATAGGATATTAAACAAAATATAACTATAATGAGGGGTGGAACCAGCAGCCATACTGTGAGGACGCATCTCCCACGAGTTCCATGCATAAACCCACAAAATGAGCAAAAATGCAAGATTTTCCATAACTATCCTCACACAAACCTTCTATATTCCTCTCTGAAGGTATAGGGCATTGTAGCAAAAAATATTAGCTGGATAGACTCCTTCAACCAACGACATTGGCAATAATCCTGAGGAGGCTGCAAATATCCCAGAGGCCTGAAATGGCGCCGCTGTTAGTTGGGCCCTTGCAAGCATCCTGTGAGGTGTCCTTGGTGGATAAGAAGCATTATGATCTGAGGGCAACCACCCAACCCATACACTCACCTCCCAAGCCTGGTGCCAAACATCTGGTCACTGAAGACATGCTGAGGGGCCTCCTGCATGAACTGTGCCATAACAACGCAGCTGACATCGGTTTGTCCTGGAAAGAAATTAGGCACACCTGCACAACACTGGGTTGAATACTGCTGATCATGAGACCCACATAGCAGAACCAGCTCTCAACTCTGCAACATATTCAGGCACTGACCCAAGACCTCATGTCTGCCATGGAGGATAATAGATGCTTGAAACATGTTAAAATCTGGTCTGCCTGACAATCTCAAAACTGATGAATTCCCACACCTTTTATGCAGGTTACTTACTGTGCTATTTTGGCAAAACCAGCCAAATTATTACCTCTGGATGGGTGGTATAGACTTCCCAGACCTGTAACAAGCACCCCAGCAACTGGCAGGGACACTATCATACAATTCCAGGAGAGTCAGACCATCTGACCTTCATGGTGGCCATCTGCAACAAGTCCCCTTTTCATTTTAAGGAACACTTCTTAACTTAACAGACTGGCGACACTCGCTGCGTCCCCTGACTAATTAACTCATTATTCACACAATACTATATCGCTGGAGTGTGCCTAGAGGCCTGACTATACCCAGGGACTTTGGTTGCCATGACAATGCTCAGATCTCGCGAGAGTGAACTCTAGCTCCGCAGGCTAGAGTTCACTCTCCACTGGACCACCAGGGAGGGCACATGGCAGCAAGGATCCCCCCTCCCTACATGAGGTCAGAAGGGAGGGGGAATATTTACTAATCTGCCCCCACCTTCACAATCCCTCCAAACATAGAGCACCTACACAGATACAGCACCTACACACAAACAGAGCGCGCACACAGCACCCTCACACACCTCACACAAACAGCACCCTCACACACAGCACCCTCACACACAGCACCCTCACACATACAGCACCCTCACACACATAGTACACTAACAGCACCCTCACAAACACACACACACACACTGCACCCTTACAAGCACACAACACCCTCACACACATCACACTAACAGCACCCTCACACAAACAGCACCTTCACTAATACACGACTCTAACAGCACCCTCACAAATACACGACACAAACAGCACCCTCACACACACACATCACACAAACAGCACCCTCACACAGCACACTAACAGGATCCTCACACACAGCAAACAAACACCCTCACACACAGCACACAAACAGCACCCTCACACAACGCACACAAAAGGCACCCTCACACACAAACGGCACCCTCATACACAGCACACTAACAGCACCCTCACCCACATAGCACACTACCAGCACCCTCACACACACATCACACTAACAGCACCCTTACACACACCGCACCCTCACACAGCACACTAACAGCACACAAACAGCACCCTCACAAATACATGACACTACCAGCACCATCACACACACATCACACAAACAGCACTCTCACACAGAGCACCCTCACACAGCACAAAAACAGCACCCTCACACACAAACTGCACCCTCACACACAGCACACTAACAGCACCCTCACCCACATAGCACACTACCAGCACCCTCACACACATCACACTAACAGCACCCTTACACACACAGCACCCTCACACAGCGCACTAACAGCACACACACAAACAACAGTGTAGGTGTGTGTATATATATATATATATATATACACAAAAGAAAAGAGATGCACTCCAAGGACTTAATAAGTGAAAAAAGGGGTCATTTATTCCAATTGGTATTGCATCAAAAATTAGCCGACGTTTTGACCCATTCGGGTCTTTCTCAAGGTTGAGCGACCCGAATGGGTCGAAACGTCGGCTAATTTTTGATGCAATACCTATTGGAATAAATTACCCCTTTTTTTCACTTATTAAGTCCTTGGAGTTCATCTCTTTTATTTTGTTTTTATATCTTCAACGCTGGATTGCACCTAGGCTAAATTGGATAATTTACACGAAAGGGTGAGTGCCAAGAAACATTTTTTGTATACATATATACATACATACATGCAGCGTGTGTTTGTGCTTTAGTGTGCACACCCTAATGCAATAGGCTGCGCACGCCAATGATCGCGATGGTAACTCAGCTGCACATAAACAACTTTTGAACTATTATATTACTGGAAAAAGTGATGTATATGGATACACACACACATGTTAAGAAAGCAATAGCAATAGCAGCCTACAATGCTCGGTGCTCTCTTTATATAGCCTGTCTTCTCTGAGCAGAATATCCATATTTTTTGCATTATGTGCTAAATAGGCTTTTCTATACTCGGCGCTAGCCACTACCTATCTCAGACAGACTATGATATGTATTTCAGACTATTTCAGACTATTTTAGACTATGATATGTATTTCTGGGTGCCTTAATCCCAATTCTTAAACATTATTTGATTAAAAGATGCACACTAATAAAAGGGACACTCTAAGCACCAAAACCACTTCATATTTATGTAGTGGTTGTGGGGCATGTGCTCCGTTGCTTTTTTCTGGCGTTGTAGAGCATTGGCATGCTTCAAAGGGCACTTTCTCATGAAGATCTTTGAAAGTCACATTTAGCATCACCATTCAACATGCACAACGTGATTATACCAAACATTATTATGGGTTCTCATAGAAAAGCATTGGATTCAGTGCTTCTACATGAGAAATATTTAGTTAGTTGTATGCAGCAATTGATGTGCATGTGTCATAGATCTCTATGAGAAGTCTTGGATTAGACTAAAAGCATCTCAACTGATGATCTCAGAAGAGACTGAGAAGCTGCCAATAAGAAATGTCCAGGCTCTGGATTACAGGCATATTTAATCTTTTTTTTTTTTACTTTTATAATTTTAAAAGTGGGCCCCACATTCTAAATGGAAAAAGGAACACGCAAAGGTTAAAAATAAATATAAGGCAGAGGTCGATACATTCAGTAGACGTAATTGAGAGTAGATTTTCACACCTGAAATGCATATTGCTAGCAATTCACCTGTGTTTCATAGGTAACTTAGAAATTAGAGATGGAGCTGTTAATATGTAACCTGACCTTGTAATCATGCACTCAGTCACTGCTGCATAGAAGAATAAACTGTGATTGCTATACAGCCCTGCCCCTAATAATTTGCATCATAACAGCTGGTTATAAAGGTGGCATGGTTCCACTTGATAGTTTCACTAGTACTGGGTGCTAATTATCAGTGCAGGACTGTACCTCCATCGCAATGGCTGTGAAAGACGTATCTGCTTTTCTGTTTATCCTTAGTCTTGTGCTGTTTCCCAAGTACAGTACCAGCAATAGTACTTTTTGCAATCCACTGCCTGTTAATGTAAACAACAGTGAGAATATTTTGATAGATGTGAACCCCACAGAACTTACTGACAATACAGTCTATACAGGTAAGTTTATCTCATTATAGAACTTAGCATGGTTGTTTACTTTAACTTTTAATCAATCCATTGTAGCAATGAGAAAAAAAAAAAAATTGTTGTGATCTGTTTCCTATTCACATATAAGCAAATATAGATGCTGGATCATTTCCTGTTCACTTAGAAGTAAATAGAAATGCTCGTTCATAACAGCTGTAGTTCAAGAACAAATAGACAGCTGAACAATTTATTGAATCATTAAATTGTAAATTAAAAATTGTAATTTAATTATTAAATCAAATGTAGCAATACCAAAACAATTGCATCCAAACGGATCTCAAAACAATACAGTTTTAAAAGTAACAGTGAGTTCAACTCTAAATTTGCTCTTAACCTCAATAAATATTTGCCTATAAAATGTAACTTTCTTCTGCATTGTTCTGTTCTCTGTACTGAAAGGTAAATCATAAGCAATTAATTATTTAAAAAATATATGCAAATACATGGACACAAAGGGTTTGTTAACATAGAGGGTATATTAACTTAACATGAGATCTGTCTCTTCTTTTAGCTTGATTTTCATACTAAATTATCTTGCCTCCAATATATTTAAGGCAATATATATTTGCTTAGCTTTTCTTCCCAAAAACCTTTGCATGTAGAAAGCGTATGTGTACCATATGGTATCTAAATCATATAACCGAAAACTGGAGGTCCATAGTAATGTACCAGTAAGACATTATTTTTGAAATATGGCCAAAAACACAAAATATTAAAAATAATACATTGTATATATATATTTGCCTTGCTGTTCTTGTAAGATTGAATATCTTCTCTGAATAAGACAGGACAGACAATAAGGTAAATACCTCATTCTTTATGGCATACATATTGAACGTACATAATAAAATTACCAAAATGTTTACACAATACAAAAAGGATATCATCATATATTCATCATATTTTTTATTATTCATCATCACTTTAAGTGCTATCTAAACCAGCTAGCATAACATATCCTGAATGGGGTTGATGGAAAAAATACAAAACCAAGGCAGACAATTATATAATCAGCTGTGCTCCAAAGACTTAACTGTTCATTTATGTGTGTCATCTTTAAAATCATAACTTTGATAATATGTTTATAAAAACCTGAGCTATAGCAATCATTTTTGACAACAAAAGCTTCACCATTATTGTGATGACGTCCCTTTTTTCTTTCTTGATCAATTTGAGAAGAAGAATGTTTGTGTGTTTTCGGTCCTGTTATACTGCACTGAAATATATGTTGATGATTCATTGTTACAATAAAATATGTAATAATATGAAAAGGAAAATCAGAGGGAAATGAGTACATTTTATAAGGACAGCATGAGTGCTTACTGCAATATTTGTGACTATTTCACCGAGCATAGTTTGAAATTATTAATGGGAGATAACTTTAAACCACTATTCTCAATTTTATTTTGTTGACCTGTACGTAACAGTTATTTCACAAGGTCAAAAAGTATGGAATTGGCAATTATGTTTTAAGTGGTTTTTTATTTTTATTATATGGAACATCTGTACTTTCTTCTTCCTTCTTTTCTACTTGTGATTTATAGAGCAACAGCAGTAGCTTGGTATTAAATTTAATTCCAAACTCTTGCATTAACATTAGTCTTAGAATTGAATGAATATTCTAGGTCGAAAGAAAACGTTCGTATGGCTGTTGTTTGGATATGGATTTTCTTTTGGACAGTTTCAATTCAAACATGTGTCTATTCTATAACCACATATTCCATTTGTTAATGGAAATGTATAATTTTATAGTAGAAACTTCCAATCTTTAGTCATTAACATATATGGAGAAGGCAATCGGCTTTCCAATTACCCTATTGCCTTTGGGTAAATTACCACATTCTCATATAGCCAGATGCATTTGCAAAGTTTGTGTGCATGTTATCCCATATGGAACTTATGTACACTTGGACCTCTTCTGAATGAGCAATGTCTTTGCCTTAAGTAGAACAAACCGATCTGTTGTGCTCCATTAAAGTTCTTGTTCATCTTAATGAGTTGAACACTAGGATGGCTATGGCATCTCCGGCCAGTCATTACAGTCATTACCACTGCATTCAGAGGTGGAAGAGAAGAAGGAGATAGAGAAGAGGGAGTTGGCTCTTGCTCTATATATATATTGCACACAAACATGGATGGAGGGAAAGTAGTTATCATTGCAGAGAGTCCTATAAACCTTTACTTATTGGAGTCAGCCTCCTACTCATTGAGCACAAGATGGCAAAAAGGGAAGCACAGTCAGATTCTTTCTCAAGAATAATGAATATCAAGTCAAAGCTGCCATCAAGAAGTATATGGCAAAATGTCCTTTATTCCTTTATGGCATTTAATAATTCTCACTGATTAAATAATTTGCTCACTTGTTGATTGGCTCCCATAGGTGAGGCAATGGATTGTTCAATCTCTTATGAAACTTTTAGTTAACAAACTAAAAGTTACCTGAGTTTTTAATAAAACTCATTGAATGACTTTCTTTCAGCCCAAATACATAGCTGTGTTTTGTAGGGAAACAATATATATATATATATATATATATATATATATATATTTAAATTTGTATTTCACTTTAATTTTAAATTTATATATATATATATGTATATATTTATATATATATATATTAATTTAAATTTGTATTTCACTTTTTGCTTCTTCTTCGTGATTCTAAGTATCAGTGTCTGGATTCTGTTACAAGAAACTGCATATAAAGGAATCTAAACTTATAATTGTACCATGATGAAAAATCTTTAACATTTGCATAAACTTTTAAAAATTACATTACTACTAAGAAACAACTTAGAAAAAGGGATCTAAACCGCAACATAATTGGTTAACATTTTTTTTTTTTTTTAATGCAGAGGTGTCTCACCCTGAACATATTTAGGGGAAGTTGCACCTTTTTCATTTTGAAATCATGAGTAACTTTAGGGGTAAGCCAGTTCACATGTTACTTGAACACAATGTTTATCTTGCCAATAGGCAGCTCCTTCTCCTTATTCAACCAATTATTAATGTTGATATTATGAAATGCAAGCTCAGGAGCTACGTAGTGGATTTTTTGTGTCCCCATTCCCACTCATGTTTGAACTGCCTATCCAAGTTGTTTATTTTATTATTTTATTTTTATTTTTTTGCTTTGTTTATTTTTTTTACTTGAACTAATAATCCTTTAACTGGTGCTATGTAAGCCTTAAAAGTGCCAGGGAGGTGATGAGAAAGTAACACTAAAATATACATTCTTCAAAAGAATGGATGTACTGGGTTGGACATTTCTTTTTGGACGCTAACCAGAACTTTGGAGATGTACAGACAAAACTATTTAGAACTATTGTTCTAAAAATAATTTTATCAAGAATTCAAGAAAAGCAAAAATTACTAATATTTTTTAAAATCTACAAATATAATTATATAATATTTATTCAATAATAAAAATGACTAATTTTAAAAATAGTTCTTGGAATATATAATTATCTTCTCTCTGAATATAATATATCAGATTCCTTAAACTTAGATTTTGGCAGATTTTATTCAAATACAAGTCCTTTGTGTTCCTTTCAAGCATTTTATAGACTTGGAGCTGGTCCAATAACTATTAGATACTATATGACATAATTAATTATAGCCTGCACGGGAGCAGGAATCTACAGGTAGAAAATGATATATGAATAAGTCAATGAGGAAATAATTATTGTGAAACATGAAAAACATTATGAAATGTAATATAATTTACATTTGTCTCATGTGTCTCATACATCTCTCATAACCACTATAGAAACATTGATAGCACTGCCATGGAAGAACTAATGTCTCATTGTATATCCTCACTTTTAAATGTTAGGTATTTAATTGTTGAATGTACTTGTTTGGAGCCTTTATCCAAATGCTTAGCTTTTTGTATCTAGGTACATGACACATATAAACATTTATGTCCAGGCTTATCGGTGTGTCAGATTTATCAGGAATGATCATAAAGACACGTCACACATGCACAGAATATTTCACTCATTCCATTTCTTAAGAAAAGAAACTCTACTTTAACTACCCTTATCTTTCCAACTTATCTGGCTTCTGCTTTTAAGCAACCTTTTTATTAATATATGTCGCTTAAAGGGTAACAGAAAGAAAAATAAGTCTCAGTAAAAAATGATAACGTACTTATAGTGAGACATTAATAAATAGCAATATACCTATAGTGAAATGCTTTTTATTTGTGTAAAAAAAGTAATTCTAAAACTCTATCACCACTCTGTAGAATATGATGAATGAAAATGTTATCAGTTAATTATTTATATACCAGGGCCAAAACTAAGATCCTTCCTGAATTCATAATATGTACACGTTTGTGCACATGCAATGGTTATTAAAGAAGTATGTTTATTTAGAGTGGACCTCCCCTAGAATATACTATACAGAGATGAGACAAGGCAATGTAAGTCTATATATGCTGTGATGTAATTTGAGATTGGGTGTCTAAATGGGACATAATTGAAATTTAAACTAAATACAAGTTTGAAAACTGAAAGCACAGTCTGATCACTTTCTAGATAAGTAAGATGACATGTGAACAAAAAAGGTCTATTCAGCTTTTGATGACTCCAGGTTCCAGTTTTAGAACTACTTAATGTTGGCAAAGCATCATGGAAGATGTAGTTCTAAAACAGCTGGAGATCCATATGTATCCAATCCTTGTTTTGTGAATGCTTCACCAGAGAGTATTATGTCTGTACTTGGCAATTATTACTGATAACAGTAACAATGCATGTTATTCTTTTTACAGTTCAGGTGACCTTTAATGGAACTGCTAACAGTACACTGATTCTAGAGGCTCTATCAAACAACAGTAGAGTGGGAAATTGGACAGGTGGAGATTGTGTTCAAGATAGTGAATTTGTTTCTAATACATCCATAGAATGGACGTCACCCGCAAACCTGTCATCTGTTACGATAAAGTGAGTGTTTGGCGGGAAACTATTTGAGCATACTGTTATTTAGCACGTGCCATTTTATTTTAACACCATTTCTCTCTTTTCAAGAACCCATTTATACAATTGTATTACTTTACTACTCTATTGTCAGATAAAGAGTTTCCAGACCCAAGAAATATTTCTAAGTAAAATCTGTGATGCTAGGCTAAGAATTTTGAGCCCATGTACAGCTGACTTCTGACTCCTATCATTCAGTGATATACACAAAGGAGATTAATCTTAGCCTATGAAGACAAAAAGCAATACAGTAAAGCAGGGGCAAAAAGTGCTAATTTCTTCAGTTCCACAAAATACAGAAACATTCACAGAAGATATGGGTGACTTAAACACTTAATTCATTTGTAAACTTTGTCACTAAACCAAGAATTGTCAGGAGTTAACCAGGAGATAGCAGATTTTGGACAAACTAGTTGAGTTGGATCATTTTTCCATTTTGACCCATTTGGAGCCAATCATTTTTAATGTATTGGTCAATATCCAACAATTTCCAGTTTTGAAAAACAAACATGTTGTGTCTGACACATATGCTCGTATTTAAACCAACACCATAGTGCCACTAATGCAAACGTGTTTTCCTAACACTATAGGTATAAATAGCTATTTAGTCTCCCATGCCACCCTTAGCGCCTGTTGGCTGAGATCATCAAATTTAACGATCTTGGCCAATCCAATGCTTTCTCAATGCTCTGCACCAATCAGCATCTCCTCATATAGATGCATTGAATCAATGCATTTCTTTAGGGAATGTTCAGCACCTCTATGCAAAACTTTGTGCGTTGTGTAGCACTGACCCAGGAAGCACCTCTAATGGCAGTCTCAGTGACTGCCACTGGAGGTGTCCCTAGGTACTAACACAGAAAAGACAGTGCTTACATTAAAATGACTGTAGGGACATGCTATACTTACTAGAACAACTACTTTAAGCTGTAGTTGTTCTGGTGACTATAGTGTCCCTTTAATATTGTTGGATAAGCTTTTTAAATTATTTAATATGTTTGAATAAGCTTTTAAAATGGTTTAATATTATGTCAAATATTTACATTTTGTAATATATGGATTTTTTTATATATGCTATTTATGATTTCAAAAATTAATCCGAAAATATTAAATTGTGGCCTTAATTACAGATAACAAACACCTTGAAAGGATGCTCTAAGCACCATAATCACTATTGCCGCATTCCTGCTGGTTTCTTGGCACACCCATTTGGAGCAGTTTACCAAAAGTTGAAGCTCACCCCAACACCCATAGTCTTCCCCTCTTCAGCTGCACATATAATGCAGAAACCACATTACCAGGAAAGACTCCTTACAACCTAGGAGGCCAGGCAGGCGTAGTTCCCATGGCTAACCCAGGGGACAGTGTCCATAGACAAATAACTGTATTGTTTATGGTATTTAAAATTGGCCCTTTCAACAGAATTGCTAAATACCACCAAAAAAAATTATAATAATTTCTAGTGATAAAGTACATATTGCAGTGAGTACAAATCCTTCACAATTTTAAAGTATGTCAGACAGAGCTATGTTTACTAGCGAAACGTAAATGGTCTAATTAAATACCTATTTATAACATGCTTAATACATATAGATGCTGTGGCCCGATGAACATTGGAGTATATTCTCTACTAAATTAAACTCAAACCAAAAATACATTAAGGACACATTTGTAAAACATAATATGCATTATTTACAAAAGTATGCTATTAGAAGATTGTATTAAATAATCTCTTTCTGGAGCCTCATTATAAAAGTTGTGGCGTGTTTAATTTGCCACAATGACTGACTGAATGGATCTCAATCTAAACAATGATGTCCTTACTAGACCATCAAATTAATTAAAATACAATGCTTAGCAGTCTCCTTGAACTTCATAATCCTAGAATAAGGCTACAGTTTGCCATTGCACAGTATGTATCTCTAAATTAAGTATAGTGATGTGTACTGTATGTTTTGTTTATTATATGTTTTTTTGTGTAGCTATGTCATTTTTTATTTTATAGTCTGCTTTACTTGCAATTAATCTCACATTACATTTTAAAGCCAATAAACTAAATTGACATCAAACTTTGTGATAACACTTTAATTGGTTTACTCCACTGTAATTAACCCACACCCAATTTACAAAGGCACACTGATACCCGGCAGCTGTTTATTGCTTTCACAAGGAACATAATTAGTTTCTGTATGCAAATCTTGACTTTCTCTGCAAATTTTACCCTTTGTATTTCAAAAGGTTTCCTTAACTAGATAGTAACGTGAGCGTGCACTGTTTGTAATTGTCACATGTTAGTACAGATGGCAAACCTTCAGATTTCACTGTACACAAAGTGTGCATATTAACAGCATTCTGACCCTGTTGCTTTCAAATTATATCTGACCCTATTCTCTCTGACATCTGATTCAGTTAGGCTACTCTTGGCAACTATCTGAAAATGTACGGTGTAAGCGGGCATGATGGTTATATGTATTCTGGGAAATTATCATGTTATATGCATAATTAACAGATGTTTATTTATTGAGCAAAAAAAAGAGTAAACCAATGTACATTTACTTTCAGTGCTTTTATCATCACGGTGGATGGAAACTTCACAGCTTCTAAAGTTCTAAATGCTAGTAAGTTTCTTTCATTAGTTATTTACTTAATTTCGTGCGATGTATACTTTGCTGTTTGCCTAATTTGAATTGTACATCTAAAGTTCTTGACAACTGTATAGACATATTTACAGTTGCATTTGAGTATAGAGTTAGATGGAAAAAAATGTTTCCTGTAGAGAATCACAGTTTTTGCTTCATAACATATCTGTCTAAAAAAATGTCTCGAAACCCAAAACAGCCGCATTTAACATAAAAAAACTGCCAATTGGAGATCGCCTTAATAGTGAAAACTCGGAAGCAATATATGCCGTATACCGTGCTTGCTTCTATTTTGTTTAAATGGAATTAATTCACTCAAATACTTTCCATTTGACATTATAACAACCTTTTTTTACCTGGAACATTAAGATCCATTTCTTAAAGTGTTTATTTGAGATGCAGTCATGCATGGCCACTTGATCTTGTTTTGCTACTTGAAATATCCGTAACTGGAATTTGAGATATAGTTACACTGACTACGTCTTACATCATCTAAAGTATTAAAAAATGGTGCCACTTTACAATTGTGTGAAAGTTAACTTGCCTTTCTCACTTCAAACTGAAATGCGTTGACTGAATTCATTCTGCAATAATTTGCCACTTTAAGTATTTGAAATTATAGCCAGATAAAACTATGAGGGAAATATTATTTTGCAAACATTAACGACTACAGTTCAAGGTGTAGATAATTTCATACATATTATGATTTACTTTGTAGAACAAAACAAGCTACTTATAGTCTCAAATCTCATCAGATGAACATGAGAATTTAGTCATATTTCATGCTTAGATTAACACATATTAGTACTTTCTCAAGTTCTATCCCATAAGACTACAGCAATTCTGTGCTTTAAAAAATCGTGCTCATAATAGGATTCTGAAAAATATACCAAAAGAAAAGACTCACTCATCTGAACAAACACATTTTAAGTGAGTAGATAAGTGCTACTGCATGTAATAAAATAAATTTACAATGTCAATGAGGTGGGGAGCACTTAACTATACAAAAGAATCTACCGATCACAGAATACTGTGTAAAACATATATGTAGTCCCATATTCTGGCAACAGGATGCTTAGATTTTCACAAAGTGCAAAAAGAAAAAAAAATACTGCAAGCCTTTCTGATAGTTTAATATGAACTCAAATAAGGTTGAGTAAACACGAGCTCCATTTCAAACATTTGCTTTGACATACATTGCACAAATATATACACTGCAACTCTTCTTTGCTAAATTAAAATTCCCACTAATAGTATGTAGCTCAGCAAACATATGTTTTAATGAAATTTGGAGACAATACATAAGCCATATTGTTTCCATCCCAATACTAATAAATCATCTATATAGATGTGTTGTTGTAGTCTTTACTATTTCTCATATGAAATGAAATTATTTTTACTCAACCACAATTTAGAGAAATACAGATGGTTTACCTCGAGGTTTACCTTTTGGGTGTTAACCTTTTTTCATTGTTTAATACATAGAATTTGTTTTTAAAAAAACATTGAATTCAGAGACACAAATCCTATTAAAACTTCTATTTGAGAATCATTGTATTATCCATTATTGTATAATAATATAATGTCTGTAATAGAGAGAGTATATTCCTTAAAGTTTAGGGAATTATATTTTGGAGATCATCTCTTCTTTTAATGTAATATAACGCTGTAGGATCATGAATTAAGACCAGTTCTGGGAAAAGTGTTTTACAAATTGAGCAATTAAAAAAATATTGTGTTGATTGCTCTAATTTTAGAAAGTTGCTCCAGAATGTTACTTATGACAAAGAAAATGAAGACGCTAAATAGGTTAAATAACACTTTTAATGGAAGGACTCTAGAACAATCAATAGTGTGATATTTTCCTTCTAATATGAAAGTTAAATTATCCCATTACTTTTATGTTAGAAGGATAAATATGCTATTTCCTCCCATTGTCTCGTACGTAAATTAGAAACAGAAAAAAATAATGAAAAAAAAATAAAATAAACACAACTTTTTTGTAGAGTTTCTGATGACGACCACTTCTTTTTACCTGCCGTCTTTTTAAAAATGTGTCATGAGTAAGAAGAAATTATGTTTGTTTGGTACAATGTAACAGCTGTTTCAAAAAAACTAAAATAAAATGTTTTATTTCAGAAGCTAACAATGAAAGTTCACCCCAATATTGGTTCTCCACCTCAATGCTATGTTTAATGCACAAAACAAGAAAACTAAGCACATTGAATTGATTGTATTTATATGTTTCATGATAGACTAACGAGCACATTTTGTTTAGAGATTGAACTTTTCTTTTCCATAAATCTATTATTGAATTCTATATAATTGTTACCACTAATATTACCCGTTAACTAAAGTAAATTGCTGATTGCAGAGGCATAACTGTAATTTTTTTTTTTTTAAAGACATATTTGCAGAGACTAAAGTTATTTTCACAAATTTAAAATATGTAACATATACAGAGGTGCATGGTAAAGTTCAAAGTTGGTGGGGCCACTGCCCCCCTTACTTGTTGGACTCTACTGACTTACTTAAACCCATGAGATGTCATACCCTGCTTAAAACCAATCATAATCATAAAAGGGAGACTTGGCACCAGTGAGTCGGAGCACAAGCCCCGCACAGACTCACTAGGAGACAGATAAAGCATAACTACCGCTATACACCACATCCCTAACCTGGCAGCCTGGGTAGGGAGATACGAGCAGATAGATACCGGTGCCCAACCTACCCTCACAGAAGAGGCACCCTGGTTGTGCTTAACCCCTTAACCCCTTAAGGACACATTACATGTGTGACATGTCATGATTCCCTTTTATTCCAGAAGTTTGGTCCTCAAGAGGTTAAGGACACATGACATGTGTGACATGTCATGATTCCCTTTTATTCCAGAAGTTTGGTCCTTAAGGGGTTAAGAGATCAGTACACACATCACTCCAGGGCACAGCTCACAACTTTCACACATAGCCCCATTCAATCTCAAGACCAGATGCGCACCCTGAGGCACTTCATAGACTAGTCTACCTAATCATTGCAGACCTAAGACCTACCTACCATTTACTTGCACTCATAGACATCGCTATCCTAACTCGCCTTTCATATGCAGGCCTTGAGATGTATAATGATGTTTCTAACTTGTCTCTCGTATACCATAAACTGTGCTGTTTGAATCGTAAAAATTGTTTCTACACTGCTTGCTCCAGCTGTTGTGGCGGAACAAGTTCATTTGTATCACTAAGCACGAAAAATATAGAATTTAAAAAAATAATAATAATAAAAGGGAGAATAGAAACTACAGATTCTAATTATGCTAGACACATATATTTTATAAAACACACTTATCAGTAGTCCTTACAATGCCAATAAATTTTATTTTATTTTATTTTTTGCAGCAAAAACTGGCAATGTGGATCAGATTCCACTTGGAAATATATGAAATTGTGTATAGGGGCATTTACACCTTAATATAGCAAGAACCCCTGTGTTTTAGTAAAAGGCTACAAGAAAGAAAGTAGGAAAAATTAAAATCAAAGCTTTATCAAAGCTTTATTACAAAATCAGCAAAATGCAGCTAAGGATGAGATCAAGTTTAAAGGAACACTATACTGTTAGGAATACAATGCTAAATTCCTAACACTGCAGAGTCCTTATGCCCCTGCGCTCCCTTCCCACCCCTCTCCACACCACCACCATTAAAATGAAAGAGTTAGAAACCCTTTAAACAGTTACCCGATTCCCATGTTAAAGTCCCTCTGTGCTGGCTCCATCTCAGCCTCCCCCGTTGCTCACTCGTTAGACCTTCCCCGTAGGAAAGCATTGACTAAAATGCTTTTCTATGGGGGATTTAAAGATGCTTTATGTCCTCATGCACAATGTGAAGACTTCCAGCATCAACTCTGTTAAATTGCAGGAAGCGCCTCTAGTGGCTGTCTGGTAGACACTAGAGGCAGTCTTAACCCTGTAATTTAAACATTGTAGTTTCTCTAAAACTACAATGTTTTACATTGCATGGCATGGAGACTGCACTCAGACCACGTCAATGAGAGGTGTTCTGGGTTCCTAGAGTGTCCTTTTAATGACCAAAAATCTTAAGATAAACTTACACTAATGATAGTTCCAAATCTACTCTAAGTCTCTAATGCAAATTTACATGAGCAATAAAAATGTTATACTATATTTTTAGACTATCACATATATTTTTGAACTTCTTTTAATGTTACCTTTTATTTTAATTATAATTATATTCAATCATTACAGTTCCTTTTAAGGACAGGTACATCTTCGACAATAAAATTTAAAAAAAAGTTAAATGAGTAATTGACTGAATAATTCTTCAGAAAGTGTCATTAATATATAAACATAAGAGGCAGGCAAATGTGTCCTACATTATACAAATCTGTGTTTTGTTTAAAATAAAATTATTTATCTTTCTTTTTTTTTTTCAGTACCACCTACAGCAGGAAATAACACATCCAACGCTACAACTGCAGGTTAGTTAAAATGTACCTGTCATGTAGCACACAAATTAATCTCAGTTTAAAAAGTATTAATGTCCATGTCTTCATTGTGCCATCAAAAGTGTTAGCAAAAATATTCTTGGTGGCTCCTCCCCAACTGTCAATCAGAACCTTGGCATTCGACCTGTGTGCTGGCAACACACACAGTTTAATACAGAGGAGTGATTGACTAGCTGAGCAGGAGAATCCTCCCCCTTGAAGTTCTCTTGCTTCCCATCACTGTTTTACTCTCTCATTTCTTATTCTTACTGGGGGAGTATGCGACACATTGATCCTGATATGTTTGCAGTGAAGCTTGCATATCAGCGTCATGGAGGATGGACCAACTTGGGGATATATCCCAAAGTATGCATAATTGCAACAGACAGGGAGGATACATCTGAGAATGTCAATGTTGGCACGAGGGACCACAGGTAAGTATAAATATAATAGCTCCCAAATAAATAAAAAATATGATTTATCACAATGATTTATTGTCTTGAGAGCTGTTAACTGTTAAAGTGAACATGACATCCAGGGTGATCTCTGCTTGATATGTCTGTCTTTTTATTTTTCAGCAGTGGTTAGTAGGCGAATTGAAATTTCGAGACCTGTTAATTTCCAGATTTTCATAATACTGAATAATTAGCTGGGCTTTTTTGCACAGTTCATATTGTTTTCAGGCTTTTTAGATGTGACGATATCTAAATTCAAAATGTTATGGCTGTTTTTTTTAATAAATCCTTCACTTTAAGCCACAAAATGCACTTTGAGGGAGTTCACTATAGGAATAAAAATATATATAAAGACATTAGTTTTGGTTATTGGTTATCCTACAAACTGGTGTTACAGGGAGAACCCAAATGTAGATTGATGCAAATTATCTGGGTTAGTGAGATCTACGTGTTATACAAAAATGGTGTCTGGGAACTCTATGCATTTTAGGAACGACTTGTACTCCAAAGGATGTGTTTTAACACTAAATGGTTTAATAGATTTAATGTAGATTTCTTTACTCAAAAAACTGTAATAACTTTTAATCTCAGCAGTCAAAATGCTTCATGAAAATAACTTTTCAAATTCATGTCTTAACAAAAAACTGACATATTTATTTGTATTTCAGCACCAGGAACAGTAGGAAATACAACAAATAGTGTTACAACAGCAGGTTAGTTTATCTATCTATCTATCTATCTATCTATCAATATCTATCTATCTATCTATCTATCTATCTATCTATCTATCTATCAATATCTATCTATCTATCTATCTATCTATCTATCAATATATCTATCTATCTATCTATCAATATATCTATCTATCTATCTATCTATCTGTATGTCTGTATGTCTATCTATCTTTTAATCTTTATCTCTATCATTCTATCTATCTATCTAGCTATCTATCTATCGTTCATTCTATCTATCTATCTATCTATCTATCTATCTATCTATCTATCGATCTGTCTGTCTGTATGTCAATGACACATTTACTTGCCAGTCATCAGGGCTAACTTGTCACTTGACAATGGCTAATGGTGAGTGCATATTTTAGCCCTGACATGGACTATTGAATAGAATAATAAAGAGCTGTTTCTGATAACAATATGAAATATTATTCAGTCTTAAAGGTGAATAGGTCCTTTGTACTCCTCAAAATGTGTTTTGCTGGCAACACAAAATGCTTCAACAGAAAATGTGTGAACTAGTCATAAAAAAAATCTGTAATAATATTTAAATCCATATAGTCAAAAAGATTTGATGATAATAATAGCTTCTTAAATTTGTGTCTGTATATAAAAGATTTTTAGTTTTATTCCATCATCAGAAACAGCAAAAAACACAACATATTTCACAAATTCTTGACTTTATAAAACTTATTTATTTTAATTTCAGTACCAGGAACAGGAAATACAACAACCGGTTAGTTATTTTGTCTGTCTGTCTGCCTGCCTGCCTATGTACCTCTGTCTACCTATCTATCTCTGTACCTCTGTCTACCTGTCTACCTATCGATCTCTGTACCTCTGTCTACCTGTCTACCTATCGATCTCTGTACCTCTGACTGCCTGTCTACCTATCTATCTCTGTACCTCTCTCTACCTGTCTACCTATCGATCTCTGTACCTCTGTCTACCTGTCTACCTATCTATCTCTGTACCTCTGTCTACCTGTCTACCTATCGATCTCTGTACCTCTGTCTACCTGTCTACCTATCTATCTCTGTACCTCTGTCTATTTGCCTACCTATCTATCTCTGTACCTCTGTCTACCTGTCTACCTATCGATCTCTGTACCTCTGTCTATCTGTCTACCTATCGATCTCTGTACCTCTGTCTACCTGTCTACCTATCGATCTCTATACCTCTGTCTACCTATCTACCTATCTATCTCTGTACCTCTGTCTACCTGTCTACCTATCTATCTCTGTACCTCTGTCTACCTGTCTACCTATCAATCTCTGTACCTCTGTCTACCTGTCTACCTATCTATCTAAAATCTGTAATAATATTTAAATCCATATAGTCAAAAAGATTTGATGATAATAATAGCTTCTTAAATTTGTGTCTGTATATAAAAGATTTTAAGTTTTATTCCATCATCAGAAACAGCAAAAAACACAACATATTTCACAAATTCTTGACTTTATAAAACGTATTTATTTTAATTTCAGTACCAGGAACAGGAAATACAACAACCGGTTAGTTATTTTGTCTGTCTGTCTGCCTGCCTGCCTCTGTACCTCTGTCTACCTATCTATCTCTGTACCTCTGTCTACCTGTCTACCTATCTATCTCTGTACCTCTGTCTACCTGTCTACCTATCTATCTCTGTACCTATGTCTACCTGTCTACCTATCGATCTCTGTACCTCTGTCTACCTGTCTACCTATCGATCTCTGTACCTCTGTCTACCTGTCTACCTATCTATCTCTGTACCTCTGTCTACCTGTCTACCTATCAATCTCTGTACCTCTGTCTACCTGTCTACCTATCGATCTCTGTACCTCTGTCTACCTGTCTACCTATCTATCTCTGTACCTCTGTCTACCTGTCTACCTATCTATCTCTGTACCTCTGTCTACCTGTCTACCTATCTATCTCTGTACCTCTGTCTACCTGTCTACCTATCTATCTCTGTACCTCTGTCTACCTGTCTACCTATCTATCTCTGTACCTCTGTCTACCTGTCTACCTATCGATCTCTGTACCTCTGTCTACCTGTCTACCTATCGATCTCTATACCTCTGTCTACCTATCTACCTATCTATCTCTGTACCTCTGTCTACCTGTCTACCTATCTATCTCTGTACCTCTGTCTACCTGTCTACCTATCGATCTCTGTACCTCTGTCTACCTATCTATCTCTGTCTATTACTTTCAGCATGGCAGATGTTTTGGACTACTCCTGTACTGCTTTTACAATCATAATGCTGGCAAAGCTTCAGGAGTAATAAAGATGCACTGTTTATTTTTCTGTTTACATTTCTTTACAGGATCTACAACAACAACTACACACACAACAAGCACTGGTTCAGCAACGCATCCCAGTTCTATGCTTATGGCTCTTATTCAGACATTTGGTTTGTTTGTGATCACTAGCCGTCTTCTATCATAAACGAAATCTAAGAGAACTTATGGACATAATTAGAACTTGTATCTCTGTATTTTTAAGTGTATCATAATAAGAAGACTTTGAAAAGTTATCAACATTAAGAATGTTCTTTGTAACAATGGACCAACTTCCGTTAAAGAGTAAAAATTGTCCACTTCATTTAATAATTAAAAGTATAATCAGTTCTGTGTGATATCTTAACCCAGCTCAACCCAGGCTTAATCAGCCATCTGGCATCCTAAAGGATGGCAGATTTATAAAATATCAAGTTATTGGCATGTGTCTAGCCTTATTAAGAGAAAAAGAAGGAAAACGCAAAGAAAGCTTTGTCAATGGTAATCGTTTTTGATTACCATTTTATTGCTTCTATACAAGTCATACCAAACCACTCACAATTTTATATCACGTGCTATGTTAAATAATATTAGTGGGAAGAATGGAATCATATTGCTTCCATATATGAACACTAAGACTTTCCAACATGGCTAATCTGACGTTGATGATGTTACGATCATTGCTTTTATTCCAAACTAGAATGAAGATAAATTTTATGTTAAAATGACATTTAATCAGTAACATATATTAACAAGCTCGTAGTTAAATTAGTAGATTGAGCATATAAAATTATATAATTTATTACAATTAATTCCAATCTATGGAGGCTTTGAATACCATTGTTACTTGACTTGTGCATGGTAGAAACATTTGGTTCAGCCTAAACATTTTTCAGAGAACGAGATTTAGTTCGGGACCTACAACACTCGTCTGAATATCATCCATGAAAAATAGCTGGAAAACAATTTGTTCAAAAACAATAGGGCAAGAAAATTGACTACTCAGTGTACTGGAAAATACATACATAATATGAATATTATATATATATATATATATATTTTTTTTTTTATTATTCTGTACACTTTTCTGCTATTTGTTTCGCAAATAAAGTGAGAAAAAGTAACCAATAGACGGAAAAAGATGAGGAGCATTAAAAATAAATACATCTATTTTTATATATTATATATCATTATTAAATGTATATTATATACATAAAAGTATAATAATATAGATATTTTTTACTGCTCCTTCTCATCCCCCCACCCCCTACCCCCGATTGGTTACTTCTCACTGGTTCTGTGAATAAAATCAACATTTAGGGGCTTTCCTCTAGCCATAAATAATATTTTTCCATTAATAATGCACAAAAATACCAAATCAAATGAACAAGTTTGGCCAATACTCCAGTCATTTGCTCGGTTACAGGTCCATATGGTGCTTCGAAAATACAGAATTCAGCCGAACCGCCTAAATTTGGACAAATTTCAATTCCACCAAAACTAAATGCACAAGTCTCATAGTAACATTGCTGCACACTCTTCTGATAATTCTAACTTAATAGTTAAGGCAAGGCCTGTGTCTAGGATTTTTATATTGTTATTTTAAGCTATGGAATATATTGCCATACATAGAGATTGTTTGAAGTTTTGTATAAAAACCAAATCTGTAGAACACTTAAAAAAACAACGTTTAATTTGTTTTCATTTAAAACCTTTCCTGAAATGTTCTCCTTTACTATTCACCTTTCTGAGCAAATGTACATTTTTATTTCTTATATGCAAACTATTGAAAATGTTCAACTGCATCTCTGCTGCTTTGCAAAATAGATATGGATAGTGAATATGTCCACATAGCTAAACAATGTGCTAAAGGAACGTCTGTGTTTTTGTTTACTTCTCTAAGCTAAAATACATACTAGCACTAATGTATACACAAATAATCATATACCTACATATATCAAGCTACTTCTCTTACATGAAATTACATATGTGTATATTAATAGATTATATTTTCTTAAGAAATTCTTTTAATATATTTAACTAAGTCTTAATAAATATAATATAAAATCTTTACGAAGAGGACTTTGTTTTTTTTTTTTTGCATTGGGGTACCAGTAATGTGGACAGACAAACGGACATATATATGAAGGATCAAAAGTACAGACGGACAGACGGACCGACTAATAGATAGCTAGATAGACAGATAGCTAGATAGACAGATAGATAGATAGATAGATAGATAGATAGATAGATAGATAGATAGATAGACAGATAGATAGATAGATAGATAGATAGATAGACAGACAGATAGATAGATAGATAGATAGATAGATAGATAGATAGATAGATAGATAGATAGATAGATAGACAGATAGATTGATAGATGCCATTGGGATATCATGTGATATACATGTAAAGATCACACTCATCCATTTTGTACATCTTCACTATTGTACATTCATTTCTTGTCTTTCTACAGTGATTATTGCATCCCAAAATAGAGAAACATTGTGAAAGGTATCAATTGCTCCACCCACACATATTTTGTTTGTTTTCTATGTAGAACTTTTTCAGATTTGTTAATAATTATATAGCCACATTAGGGTCTTGTGAATCTCAGTTTCCAAATTTCAAGTTCTTCAATCTCATTTATTTGGCCCATGTCCCCTTAGGGATGAAATAGTAGCCCACAACTACATTTCACCCTCATTATAGAAAACCATTTAAAAAAAATAAATAAATAAAAAGACACATTGGCTTTTTAATAAGGGATTTTTTAGTCTTTTCATGTGATAATTTCTATACCCAGTGTTTAAAATCCCCTATTTTATTTTACATTGTATCACAGCTTCATGTGCTTTATCCCCAGTATGCCCTTTTCCCCTCTATGTCTTTTCCCTCTTATTTATCAGATCTGCCTCCTACTGTGTGTCACATTCCAACCATTTATGTTTTGTTGGTCTCTGTATGTTTCTCATCTATGTTTGTATTTTCTGACTGTCTTTGTTACTGAAAAGCACAAGAAAGCAGAAACAGGAGAGAACTGTGCAAGCATGAGTTTGGGAATTTAGGGCCTTTGCATATCTCCAAAAATTACATGTTCCTGCCATCCACAAGCACCACTTAATTGGTACCAATAAGCGCTAACGTATTTTCTATTTTAACTAATCTTTATTGTTTTGTTTTCTTTTCTTATATAGAAAAGAACAAATAAAATTACATGACAAATACAAGAGTTTCCAAACATACAAAAAAGAAGGAAATAAAAAAGTAGCACAAACGTATTTTCTATGTGCAATGCTATTTTTATTACTGTCTTGTTTTTTGAAAACCCATGACCCATGTGTTTTACCTCATAACAAACCAATAAACCTATCATATAAATTATTTCAACATGCAAGTAGAACATTTCTTTCTAAAATCTGACAAATGTGACCTTCAGCTGTAGATAAAACATGAGAAATTGTATAGTTTCATTCTTTAACGTGATTCATTTCCTGGCGATCACGTTCTATACTAATGTGTTTTTTTTAGGATATTTTATCAAAAAGTTAATTATTACTTGCCAAAGAAGTCAAGTAAATGGGCAGGGTCATTGTAAATCAATACAATTGATGTATATTTCATGGTAACTAAAGTGTTCCATAAATATATAAATGAAAGTGAACACGTACTATAGCTAAGTTGTACTTGCTGAGCCAGAAGAGATTAAATAGTTTTAGATTCAGAGGTGTTTCATTAATTTAAAAATGACCTTGCCCTATCATCACCTTTTAAAGTAAACCTGGCATGAGAATTCTATATTAAGAAAATATCCCCAGCACAAGAGGACTGAATACAAATCTTACAGGTTTTTTATAGTGTAACATCATAAACAGAAGCATTGTTTTGGTTCACTATGACCTTTGTCTGTTTCTTTTTTTTTTTTAAATGATATTCTACCATACATATTTAACCCTTTAATAAATAAGGTTTCAAGTGTTAATGACTGTTAAATGGCACTTTTGATACAATAAAGGCATACACATCCAAAAAGTAGGAATAAGAAGTCTTCAACGAATCAACTGCAAGTGGGCACCACTAAGGCACAATCTGATTGTTTTGCACCATGTAGATCATTTGTCAATAAAGGGTTAAAAGGTTTATTTGGGAATAACAGAATATAGCGCTAACACTTATAAACACGCGTGAGTGAGTACCACAAAACTATAAACAATTTGTGATGCTCGAACACCTGTTAGATTGATCACTCAGTTCTAAACAGAAACATAACCATTCGGTGAATAGCGCACATTAAATAAACAAAACAAGATTATATGCCCATATATAATTATCCTCTTGATGAAATATAAACTAGAAAATAAAAAAAATACAACAACAGGCACCACGAGCGGCCTCTGTCATGTCAAATGGGACGCTGAAGTCAGCTGGACTCAAGGTGCGCAATAACCTTTTCTTACAGGTTTTACTCCAAATGGAGAGGGGGGCGCTTCTCCATAGAACCCAATAGGACATATTACACAGAACATTGCCACCCCTTTAAAGGGTTAAAGTAACCCTTTAATATTTGTCTAATATTTTAGCTCATCTATACATTTTCTTTAGTTTATCCCCTATAAAAAAATAATTTTGGGGGTTTATTACCTGGCATAAAGTATTAAAGGGACACCCCACTGCACAGATGCAAAACAAATCACTGTTTAGTAGATATCCCCCTAATAAAAGTATGCATGCATTTAATGATTCCTTTTTATTCATAGGTGGTATATCTAAAAACAGCTTCCAAAATCTTGTATTTAGCCTTTTACAAGCCCTCCTCTTCTAACCCCATCCAGACCTTCTGTAGCTGTGCAATCACAGACATCACAATGCAGCTCAATGAGATGCCTTTGTAAGGCAGGTGCTCTGGACAATTGCTGCCTCTTGAGTTTAGCTCCCCTGAGGCAAACAACCACAAAGTAACAGGACAGGTTGACTGATTGACAGTTAGGTGGGTGTAACAAGGATAATTAATATGCATGCCAATTTCTATTGAAATTTGCACTTTTAAAAAAATTTAAATAAGAAAGAGGACACTCTCTTCACACATAAAAGCCTTCAGCAAGCTACAGTGCTCTAAGGGTCTGGAGCGTACCTTTACATCATCATAATAGCTAACAATAAAAAATATAGATAAAATAAGCAACCATACAATAATTAGGATAGACACATAATAAGATACATCAAAAAAATTCAGACATTTTTATTCCAAACTGAAATTGACAATGGAATGACAAAATCATAAACAGAATATAACTCCACTGCTGAAGGAGACATAAAGTTGTAAAAATTAAGTTATATTACAATTGCTCTTGTAAATTACACTACTAGTAGAAATAATAATATCATTGTATCTCTTCTAATCTCTCTTATCTTAAGCCCTTCCTGCTGAAAGTGCAATGACACTTTAGTCGTTAAGGAGGAAATAAGCAAAGAGTAAATCATTGCTCATCTGGACTGCCCAGAAAAGTAAACATTTTGTAAGATTATGGATTCATTGTAGACATTGTTTTTTTTAATTTCCATCTTCTAATAGCTATTAAATGGCAGTAATAATGATTAAAGAACCACTATAGGCACCTAGGCAGCTTTATCTCAACTAAGTGGTCTGTGTACAATAGTCATGCTCTTTTTGCCCTGCATTGTACAACTTTGCAGATTTGCATATACAGTAAGGTTGTCTTCCTGACAGCCACTAGAGGCACGTCTGGTGAGTTTGACTCGTTGTTTAATGAGCCTTTGATTGGTGTAGCTTGGCATTTTGCTGTGCATGCTCTCAAGCCTACAATGCTTCCCTATGGGGTAGCATTAGATTAGCTAAGGTCATCGTAAGTCAGCTATGCTTTCAGTTCAGATACTTTGGCCAATCCTTTTAAATTCACTTTGATTTTTCACTTTGAACAACCCTGACTGAATGCAAAGTCTGGCCATTTTGATAAATTCCAATTTACTGTTGATTCAAAATGTCAGTGATTGGGTGTTTATCACTTTCAAATGCAGAATAAAAAGGCACGGAAAACATCACCTAAACAAATACAAGTTAAAAAAAGAGGGGCAATTCCTAAACCAGACATAATAATAATAATAAAAAAATAAAAAAAGCAGATGCATACATCACTGCTGACTAATTATCAATGTTAGTGCATTAATTATGTTGGTAGTATTTTTTTATACTGCATTTGAATGTGATAATTATCCAGTTCTGGGGTTTGCTATAGATTTTTTGGGGGATGACAGCTGTTATGCATTCCACTGATGGTTTGCACTATAAGAAGACAGGAGGATTAAATTAAAGTTTGTCTTGTTAAATGCCATGTGACGCGAAATGCATAGGGGGCCATGGCCCTGCAGTTTTTGCTGATCTAATTATTTTTTAAAGTTATGAATAAAGGATTGAGATTTTGAATGAGCAGTGAATTGGAATTTATCAGGCAGTGAACTGGACTTTGCATTCTCTATCGTTAGAGGAATATCATAAACCCTAAGGTTTCCATTTCCACCAGTGGCACGAGAAGAGTTTGAGGTGTAGCAGCTGTGAGATAATTCACAGGTTAATACTCTGACTGCTACTATTAGCACTGTATGTTTAATTCCCAGTAAACTAAGATCAAGTAACATGGTTGCATAGGAGCATGATCTGCCCCAGTGACATGACTTTCTGCTGAAACATGAGTGACCTG